ATAAATAGGGAAATAAATTGGGAAATAAATAGGGAAATAAATTGGGAAATAAATAGGGAAATAACTAGGGAAATAAATAGGGAAATAAATTGGGAAATAAATTGGGAAATAAATTGGGAAATAAATTGGGAAATAAATTGGGAAATAAATTGGGAAATAAATTGGGAAATAAATTGGGAAATAAATAGGGAAATAAATAGGGAAATAAATAGGGAAATAAATAGGGAAATAAATAGGGAAATAAATAGGGAAATAAATAGGGAAATAAAAAGGGAAATAAATAGGGAAATAAATAGGGAAATAAATAGGGAAATAAATAGGGAAATAAATAGGGAAATAAATAGGGAAATAAATAGGGAAATAAATAGGGAAATAAATAGGGAAATAAATAGGGAAATAAATAGGGAAATAATAGGGAAATAAATAGGGAAATAAATAGGGAAATAAATAGGGAAATAATAGGGAAATAAATAGGGAAATAAATAGGGAAATAAAATCTTAAGGGCGAATAAAGGGAAATAAATTAGGGAAATAAATAGGGAAATAAATAGGGAAATAAATTAGGGAAATAAATTAGGGAAATAAATAGGGAAATGAATAGGGGGATTAATTCGGGAAATACATAGGGAAATAAATAGGGAAATTAATAGGGATAATAATTTGGGAAATAAATAGGGAAATAAATTAGGGAAATAAATTAGGGAAATAAATAGGGAAATAAATAGGGAAATAAATTAGGGAAATAAATCAGGGAAATAAATTAGAGAAATAAATAGAGAAATAAATTTGGGAAATAAATTTGGGAAATAAATTTGGGAAATAAACCGGGAAATAAATAGGGAAATAAATAGGGAAATAAATTTGGGAAATAAATTTGGGAAATAAATAGGGAAATAAATAGGGAAATAAATAGGAAAATAAATAGGGAAATAAATTTGGAAATAAATCGGGAAATAAATAGGGAAATAAATAGGGAAATAAATAGGGAAATAAATAGGGAAATAAATAGGGAAATAAATTTGGGAAATAAATAGGGAAATAAATAGGGAAATAAATTGGGAAATAAATCGGGAAATAAATTTGGGAAATAAATAGGGACATAAATAGGGAAATAAATAGAGAAATAAATAGGGAAATAAATTTGGGAAATAAATAGGGAAATAAATTAGGGAAATAAATTAGGGAAATAAATAGGGAAATAATTAGGGAAATAATTAGGGAAATAAAAAGGGAAATAGATTAGGGAAATAAAATAGGGAAATAAATCGGGAAATAGATTAGGGGAATAAATTAGGGAAATAAATAGGGAAATAAATAGGGAAATAAATCGGGAAATAAATCGGGAAATAAATCGGGAAATAAATTAGGGAAATAAATTAGGGAAATAAATAGGGGAATAAATCGGAAAATAAATTTGGGAAATAAATAGGGAAATAAATTAGGGAAATAAATTAGGGAAATAAATAGGGAAATAAATAGGGAAATAAATTAGGGAAATAAATTAGGGAAATAAATAGGGAAATGAATAGGGGGATTAATTC